GTATATTCAAAATAAATTGAATAAATGAAAGATTGAATTCACAGTAGTGTGTAAAGCTACCATGATATCGATATTCTCACCTAAGCAACTAGGATCATCAGATGGCACTCGTAACGAAATAAATGGAAATTGAAGTTTTATGCATGTAAATTTTATGCTTACTGTTAGTGGAGATTGGCGCTTAATTGTTTGTTTTTTTTTTTTTGAATGTTTTCTTGTTGTTCTGATTTTTGTACTTGAGACGCTCGGAACTGATTTAATAGGTAAATTTGGTGTTGGATCCGAAGTGGTTGCACATTTGGTTTTTATGTGGAAAACATATGTAGGCAGGTACTCTTGATCGGAGTTTTGTGGGCTGTGAATGGCTTTGGGTTCGTTTGTTTTTGTCAGTGTTGGTTTTTTTTTGGAAGTTGTTGCTGTTGGATCTGAATCTTGTATGATAATTTTTTTCGTAATGTCGAAGGTAATTGTTGATGATGATACCGCTGATATTAAGTTGTTTAGCAGGGAGGTGTTCATGGTGTATTGTAATATGTGGAATAGCATTGATGTCATAGCTTCGTTTTAGATCTACAATAGATAGAACACAGATAGGAAGTATTATTCATTCAGGAATGCTGGTATTATTCTAGTTCTGAAAATGATGATATTTATTATAGTTACGGTTGCTATGGTGGTATATAGTACAATGATAAACGAAAAAAAAACTGGAAAAATGTCGGTTTTTAGTTTGCAAGGTCGAGTGGCTTGTACTGATGCTGTGATTCTCTAGTAGAATTAATAAAAAGAGATTCAATGTGATAATATGAATAATGTTAAAGACGTACTTTATTCTTGTTTTTTTGTGTCGCTGCGTTTCAAATGACCTACGAGTGGCCGTTTGTTCATAAGTAGTTCCTGTATGGGGAACGGCGGGTAGTGCTTTTGTAAGATCTTTACCCGAAAATCTTTTAATGTTGGATGGTTTGCCAAATGTTTGTGTAGTTGTTTATTTAATTCGTGTTCACGTTCAGCTATAGTCGTATCGTCCCAATCAGTTCCATGTGGTAGATGGAATGGAATTTCTTGCTGTTGCGAACCATTTTCACTTCTTTCTTTTTTAGCAGCTGCTCGATTCTTATCATAGATCGAAATATGTTTGCGAAGTTTTTCATAATTCACGGTGAGAAATGGTGGATAGATGACTGTGACACCGAAATCTTCATAAAATGCATCTAAAGCTTCGTCGAAGATTTGTTCGGAATGACCGCGTCGAAGTAGTTCTCTTTGAATTTCTCCTATTTCAGAGTGAAACATGACAGTATCACAACAATAACGTACGGCTTTCAATAACGCTTTGCGTAGCCAATTCCAAATATTCTCATTTGGATGTTGAAGTTGATTAAGTTCCGATGATAAAAAATCATTGTAGAACATTTCCTGATGGTAAACCCCTGTGAAAAGACGACCAGTATTATGACCCACTTTGATATCAACAAAATGGATTGGGTAATCAATGCTGGAAATATGCCATTTGACTTCTGGAAACCTGCTTTTAGCTATGCTAAATAATGAAGATAACTGTTGTTCAGAATGATTCCATGTAATAAATGCTTCGTCCCGATATCTAAATATGAAACAGAAAGACACCTTCATTAGATGACTACATCATTAAGTTGAAATATGATAGTTCTACCTGACAAAAAGTTCATTCTTATCAATTAAATCATTCATGATAATTTGGTCCGTATAGAATAAGTAGATATAAACTAATGGAATTGTTAAAGGTGAACCTGATGCACTACCTCTTATCTGTTGATACATTTTACATTTGTAGACAAAATATTGATTTTCCAGAACGAGACGAACCAATTGAAGAATTGTATCAAAGCTCATACCTAGTATCAGATGATCTGGTATATAAGTATTGAGAAAATTTTCTAAAGCATTTATAGCTTCTCCATGTGAAAACCTTATACACAAATCATCAATATTAAATGAGGCGAACTTCGTCGTTGCTTGAAGATGACCGTTCTTCTGATAAAATTCTAATCTATGTATCAGTTCAGCAGGTTTTTTAAGTTTGTGACAAGAGGTTGCCTGATTAAACAATTCATTAAAAAGAGAGGCAAGAAAACGGCTAATACCCATTATCGGTCCATCATTGCAAACCATGATTGGTCGAATTGGTTCTCCTTCCTATAAGTACCAAGGAAAAAAAAAACGTTAACTAAATTTAAAAAATCGACGAGAAATGCAGCATACTTTATGCGTTTCCGGGACGAAGTATAAATAATTCATTTGCACCAATCTCTGATCTATCTTCATCTTCATGTATTGGTTTTCAGTGATAGAGTTTGTACGATATAAATTTTCCAATGTACTTTCTATTCGTTTAACTATTTTAGTTAAATAATCTTGAGTTGCACCATTAGAATAATAACCGAATTTGAAAACCAATGAGTAGATGTCGGTTTGTTTCATGAATTGGTTTGCTTTTTCTGAAAAAATTTCGCGTGAATCTAAATAATATCCATTACCTTTATAAACTGGTCGTAGGATAAGTTTGTTTTTCTTTAATTGACAACGAAGGGCTAAATATTTTTCTTCATAAGAGTAAGCTTCCCGACGAGCATACCGATTGGTTAATTGATCCTTGAGAGATGAAACAAAATTTGGAAACGTAGGCCAGTCCTTATTTTTCAAAGCTTTTGCTTCTTTGTGATGATGACTTATTTCATTGTCTTTGCCATCTTCATCTTCAGACGAAGATAAATCGTTTTCATTCATTTTGTAGTCGGGCCAGTTTAATGCAGGAAATAACTCGTAACTTTCTTCTTTCAAGTCGCCATTAGTTGCTAAGTCTCCTGTATCTATGGAATCATTGGTTTGTTCAGCCATTGGAGTCAATGGAATTCAATAACAATTGTCTATAGTACTTGAGTATCTAAAATATAGAAGAGAACATAGATGAATACAGAGCAGAAGGAAATTGTCGATTGTATTGAAAGGTATATATGTAGTATATGAAAAAGAATCTAGGAGCCAAACTACCCAATTTCCAGAACAGCAGCTGACTATGTGTTACATGTCTTAATGAAGTTTGTGGAGAAGAAAGATTAAAACATACCCTTCGATGTTTCGATGCGTTGTAGACAGCTGATGATGGCAGCAGAAAGTGAAATATTATCTGAAATGATACAGATTTTTTGATATATATGATTCTAAATATTGATAGTGTATCGTTAGATGCGCTGAGTATTCTATTCATACAATGTCTATGCTAAAGGCAGCTATACTGAAAAAAAGAACACAATTAAGAACTAGAAAAAGAGATATAACTAAGAGAGGAAACAGTAAATATGGTTCATGCTGAATGAATGTTCAATATGTTATGAGCATTATTGTTCTTCGTTTTTATTCGGCGTCATGTAATGGATTTGGTTCAGTTTCTGATGTCGATTCTAGAACATATAAGAGAAGTAGATATTATAATAGTCGTAAGTACAGTAGAGAACATATGAATCTATTCGTAACGACAATTCTTACTTTCCTGTTGTTTTAATGTAAGATATTTGAGAGGTGGTCGTTTACGTGTTAATTCACGTTCAGAATTCGGATGATTTCGATAACCAACAATGAGTCTAACAGCTTCTAAACCATAACCTTCAAAAGCTTCACGAAAAATCTTATGCATATCTTTTTTCATAGTTGAAAATCGCTTTTCATGTGTATAGTGTATAATCACTACGTCGTGAAAAATATTGTTTTTCGATTTTTTTGTGTCAGTTGTTCTTGTTTGAACAGGTTGTTCGAGATGAGATTCTTCATTGTTTTCCTTGAAATGTGCGATACGTGCTTCGACTTGAGAAGATCGGGCAGTTGGTTGATTCATATATTCTTGGCGTAATTGAAAAAAGTTTTCTTCGTTGTCAACTGTTGGTAGAATTGAATTTGATGATATGTAATTACCGAAGATTTTTCGAAATTGTCTATCAATATATTCGATCGGATAACTAGAAAATCACAGCATGAATATACATGAAACTAAATATACTATCATAGAAGCGAAAGTCTTACCCATTAAATAATAACATCAATCGAACAGCACGCCGTTCAGTATTAAAGACATCAAAGGTTGATGAATATCGGATCGCTCGAACAAGAGCTGTTTGTATAATATTTGGAAATGTATATCGTGGATGATCGGAAAGAAATGGAACAACATATGGTTCAGCGGATGGTTTATGGTAAACAGATGTATGAAGAGTTCCATTATTATTAGCCAAGAGTACATCCAAAAATGAAACACTATGTCCAACATTGGATTCCAGTTTTATATTTGGATGCCATCCATTGGCATCCTGTAATAATTGTTGAACTATTTCAATGGATTCATTCGATGTAAAGAAGACATCATCAATATAACTAGAATAATAAAATAAAATACTCTGAACATACACGGAAAGAGAAGTGAATATCGCCTACCGGCCATAGATTTCTTTTTTACTATGTTGTCGTCGAACCCAACGTTTTTCCCAATCCCACATAAAAATGTTGGCTAATGTTAATGTAAATGGCGAACCCATCGCTCCACCAATAATCTGTTGATAGAATTTATGATCATACACAAATGCATTTTCTTTTAAAACAATTTCGGCCAATTTTTGAATAGTTGTAACAGATATATTTTTAACTCGTTCACCAACATTTTCTCGAAGAAAATCACCAAGTATTCGAATGGATTCATCTTGTGGTAGCATAGTATATAAATTATTGATATCAAAAGTACAAAAAAGAGTAGACGGTTTAAGATAGCCGTCACCAGCATATTGTTCAAGTCGTTTGATAAGATTCACACCATCAATAATTGTATTCTCCTTATTGTATTGATCATAAATTGGTTGAATCAGTTCATTTAAAAAATCAGATATAGATCTTGTTACTGATTTAATGGTATTTAGTATCGGTCTCAGTGGTGTTCCTTCCTAAATGAGAAATAGCATCACATATTTACTGCGATAATCGTTTATAAAAGAAGAAAGAGAATTATTCACCTTGTGAGGTTTTGGATTAAAATACATGTAAGATAATTTCACTTTATCCGCTATTGGTAATAAACGATTATATTCTTTGAGTGGTAATTGCTTGTTATTTTTGAGAAGATTGAGTGCATTGGTGACATTAGTGAATATTTCCTTTAATGGATTGTATGATAATTCTTGATAGGCTTTTGTATCTTCACGATATTTAGCTGCTTTTCTTTCATAATCAATTTTACTACCAATATGAAAACCACCACCTTTATCGCAGACACGTATAATAAGTTTCCCATGTTGTGCCTTCCGTCGAATAGATTTAACTAATTTGAATTCCCGTGCAGCGCGCATGCGATCAACATAGGATAATGGAGCCATATAATGTTGTCGAAGTAAATTTTCCACTAATTCAGAATAATGTGTCATTCTTGGGACTGGTGGTTCTCTCTTGCAGTAGTTCTTTAATTGTTTTTTAACTTTCTCAGTGATATCTTTCAGATGATGTTGTATTTGAGTTTCGCGATGTTTCAGCTGACGAAGAGCACTTGGATTAGGTCGAGCATAATTTGGTCCTATGAAATGTAACCGTAGATATAATTATCAATCGAGAATGAGAATTATAGATGTGTCTTGATACACTTACCTAAGGATAAGTGAGATAATTCTTCAGATTTATAAGGACAATGAAGAACATCAACAATCACTTCAGGTAACACTCCAACCATTGTCTTGGCAGCTGATGATCGTTGATAACGTTGAGCAATGATTTGTCGAAAGTGACATAATTTTTGAAATATATTACCAATAGCTGTTTGAGTACGATGTATCATATAAGCTTTGAAATAGTCGATAAAAGACATGCCATTGATTTGAATCGTAGTAGAGAATTGTAATCCTAATTGATTTAAATTTTCTTTATATTGTACTTGATATTCATTGATTTTATATTCATAGGCAGCATAAAAAAGATTAAGTAAACTACGTTTTCCTCGTTTCAAGATAGTACGATGTTTTGTTTGTATATCCACAAGTGTCCGATCAGCAATCGGTGGCCAATATATATCAGGTGCTGTAATCTTTTCAAATTGATCAAAGTTTGGTGGTAGAAACTGATGTAAAATGCGTTGTTCAAGCATCATAAACTCTTCGTAAACTTGCAATTGTGCCGTTCGTACATGAATGATCTGTTCAAGAATTTGTCGTTGAACACAACTGAGATTGTAAGAAAACAAATCTCGATAGAGTTGTTCATCACGAAACTCATCCTTAAATTTCCTTATTTTATGTTGCATACGTTCGACTAAATAATTTTGTTGTAAGGAAACATAATTTTTTAAACTTGCATCCATAATATCAAGTGTTGGTAGTAGAAGTGGTATTGTTGATTGCGCTTGTGTATTCAATTCCAGATTGCATTGCTCCAATTGATCATCGATCATAGCTAATTGTGTCATAATATAATTTTCACATAGATCTGCTTGAGTGGTTTTGGCCATTTCATATAATGAACGCTGCAATGTATAAATAAATAAGCAAAAGAAAATTTAAATGACATTCACAATTTCCTTATCGTATTGAACTTACGGGCCATAACTTTTCTTGTAATCCAACATTTAAATACGATTGCCATAAACGTTGATCAAGTTCTAGACGATATTGTCGATCTAATAATTGTAAGCGCACATGAAGAAATATTCGTTCATCTTTTTTATTTATTGCACGATTCAATTCTTGCCGTAAGGCTTGAAAGATTAAATGTGGTGAATGAGTTAAATAAGCCGGTAATCTAATAGGTCAACATAAAATATATTAGCTTAGCTAAAGTCTTTACATGAGAGAAACATAAACGATGACTTACGGATAATTCTTATTCACACTGATACTATGGGACGGAATTGATTGAATGAAGATGGCTTTTTTCATTTTTTTGGGTGCTGGTGGACGAAGATTTACGTTACTCGTCGATGGAACTAAATGACGATGAAGTTCAAATGAAGAAATATCTCTTTTACGTTTCTTTGTAAAAGTAGCAGATTTTTCTTGATTGTTGTAAATTTCTTGTTTTTTCTAGAAATACAAGAGTAAGTATTTTGTGTTTTATCACACGCTCATCGGTTATTGATCAACACTTACTGATTTCGATTCTGATGTGACCGGAACTTCGGTTGGAGGAGGAGCTTTCGTTGTGGTAGTGACGTTTTTTGATTGTTTCGATTTTTTCTTTTTCTTCGCATATTTCCCTGACTCAATCATTTGCTTTATTGCTGCTTCACTAAAACCGCGAGTGCGTTTTCTGCGACGGAAACGCTGCAATTTCTTAATACCATGACGCTTTTTGCGTTTTTCTACTGCAGTTGCCTGTTGTAACGGTTGATTGATGATCGGCCGAGACTGTGACGGAGGTTGATTTGATGCATTGACATTCATGTTTTAACAAAAAATTGGATATCAAAATCTAAAACAAAATGACAAAACCTAACATGTAAATAAGAGATCTTTAACTAAATCAACAAGAACAATGAGAATAAGAATTAAGACAAAAGAATAAGAAAATAGTTTCATGTTTATGATTGAACAGAAAGTTTTTCAAGCTTATAATAGTGAATAGATTTGAGTCGTTCTTCAATAAGATGGGCACGTTGCTCGATTATTTCAATCATTTTCGTAGTTAATTTTTGTTCATCTGGAAGTAATTGTTGTTCTTCTCTAATTTTTTGTAATTTCTCATTATATCCATTTTGATAACGCATCTTTTGAGTTGTAGCTGACTGTGTGTAGAGATCGAGCATATCTTTTTTTGTTTGTTCAATAATTTGTTTATATTGAGAATAGAATTGTTGTTGAACATTGGCATTACTAATCGAATCAAATAAAGGAACATGAGCGATCGGTAAACATTCAAAATTGTATGAATCATTATAATGAATAAGTTGTTTATCGAGTAGTTCGGATGTGTACATGCTCATCTGTTCTTGTTGGTTAGCAGTGCAGATTTCTTCTGCTAATTTTATCTAGTAAGAGAAACAGAAACAACTAAGATACTTTGATTGAAACAGAATTTTCCTTTAACTTACTTGAGCATCATTTGGATTCTGTTTAAGATACTCATGTTTTATGATTTCTTCCTCATATTCAAAGCGTACCAGTTGTATTTTATGCTGAATTTTCTTCCGTAGACTAAGAAGATTTTCTTCTATGAATTTCTCCAAAGCTTGTTGAATCATGCTTGGTTGATGAGATAAATGGTTTAGTTGAACTTGTAGATCAGCATGACATTCTTGTTTAGATTTATCTAATTGAGCAAGACGATTCTTCACATAGTCCAAACACGCATCATACTTTCCGAGACCTGAACGAACAGCTACTTTGACCATCGATTGAACAGGCTTTACCCATACATGTGGCCCCAATTCATTTCGAGAAAAATTGGACTTTAATTGACCCAAGCCCGATTGTAAATACACTTTCCAAAGAGAATACAAAATCTCTATGTATTTAATTCGATGAATCAAAACAGCTATTTGTCGATATTTTTCTAAGTTGTCGGATGATGATGCTACCGCTGTTGTTGTTTTGGTAGATAAGATTGAATAAATCATTTTTTCAAATGATTTATTACTTTTGGTAAGATACTTTGGTGTTTCTCTTAACTGATCTGATTTAATCTTTTTTGATGGCTTCTTTTCCGACTCTATTTCTGATTCTTTTTGCTGGAATGTTGACAGTTGACTCAATTTCTGTGATAGAACACGTTCTTCGGTCGGCTGAAAAAAAAAGACAAAAGAAATTCACAAATGAAACAAATGAAACAAGTAGATTCTACTTTGATTTTGTTGCCTGTTGGAGACTTTCTCAATGTATCTGTGGATATGACGTCTTCTATTTCCATGATTTCCGTGTCGTTATGATCTTCGTCATCACTATCCGTATCTAATTCATTGTCGTCGACGACTCGTTCTCTAGCATAAATACTATCTAAATCATAATCTTGTTTTACTAGGTGATTGGCATCTTCATCATCGTCATTATTAATATCATTATTATCAGCTGCATCAAGATCATTAAATATAGCCGTAGCAGACAAATGAAAATTTCCACACTATCAAATAAACATTGGTACAAAATTATTCTTAAGGTATGAGCAAGTGCCTCTTACTTGATCCACATCAGAATTATCATTGTCATAGGAATTCGTTTTGAAATTGCTTGATGATCTTGCCATGATTCACTATACGGAAAATCTATAAATGAAACAATCTAGAATTTGATAGATATCTAAAAAAGACAACACACATAATGCAATAGTAACATTGCAACGAATATGAGTAATAATCTAGGAAGAGGTACAATTTCCATTTATAGTAGTTGTTTTGGGTGTGTCTTCAAACCCCCGTCAATCGATCTTACCCATACTCAAAGTTCTCAGTAGAGATTGAATTTCTTTTCTGTAAGTATATTTAATGAATGAGGTTTGTTTCTTATTGATTGTACTTCGTAGTCACAATGTTCACTGATGCGATGAGTAGATGTTCCTTGTCGTTTGTTCTTCGGTTTCATTTCAAGTAATAATCCTATATAATATCAATTGTCTATGTAGTATGAATTAGTGTGACATATCATCAATAATTGAAGATTTTGGCTTTCTTGACTTTGAATTTGAGGTGTGAGGATACACAGAATTGAATTTTTTCGAATCCATGCATATTTACGACATGTTGCGATCTTGTTTAAAAGTCTTCACTAGGTAAGTTGGGGATCTAAAGATCTACATATCAATCAAATTTCAAAAAAATAAAAATTTTTTATGAAAATCAAAGCATATAAGATTCGACAGTAAAATTTTCAAATCACCTATTTATCGTTAGATCTCATGTGAAGAAACTGTCATCATAGGTTTGAATCTTATTTAAGGGTCTCATCTGATGGCATATCTATTCAAGATTCAGAAAGAAGAATCCAGAGAAGATATATCTTCATTGTTAAAATTAATCTTTAAAGAATAAAGACATCCTATCATAAAATCAGTTGATTCTGCCAGGATAAACTACAACGGCATATCTTTTGATGTTAAATATAGACAACAAAATTATAAAGTCAAAAAATATAAACTGGAGCAGTGATTAGAAAGAAAGAACTTTCGAGTACTTACCTTAATAAGAAGAATATTGCTGGAAACAATGAAGCGACGATAATCGAAATGATTGCATTTTGCTGGATACGATCGGCTATTTATACTGTTGAACAGAGAGAGAGAGGGAGAGTGATCGAGAGAAATCGAAAGAGAGAAAGAAAATATGTAGAA